ACTGCTGGTCCAGGTGCTGCTCCACCAGGCTCTGACCCAGAGGTTTGTACCCAGCACCAAGGGGATGAAGAGGGACAAACAAGGTGGTCTTACTCGTCGTCCCCTCCACACAGCTTCAGAAGGGCCTTCTTGTACTCCCCAGAGGTGTCCTCCTGGAAAGACAGGAGGGAAGGTCAAGGTAGCATCATGGGATGGGTGTATGGAGAGGGATCTCCCTGAGCCTGGTCCTCAGAGGTGGCTGGGGAGGGGGCTCAGCCCTCCCACAGGTGCTGGCATCACGAGGGAGCAGTGACCAGGGACCCCCAGCACGTACCTTTATCATGTTGTAGAGGGATTTCTCATACTTGGTCCTGAACACCTCCCGGATGTCCAGCATGTCGATCTCGCTGCGGGACACCATGATGCGGATCAGCGTGTTGTCCCTCGTGCCCAGCCCCTGCAATGGAGGAGACCCCACATCAAGCCCAGGATGGCCAAGCAACCCTGCTCAGCCCATCACATTTGGGACCCTCTATCAGATTTCTACCCAGCCCTAGGTCGGAAGGAATATCTCCTTTGGAGGGAAGAGCAGAGACCCCAGGTCACATAGGTCTTCATGGACCTGTGTCACCCTGCCCTCCAGCAGCACCTCATGGCAAGGGCCACCTCCTCCAGCTGGCTCCCCATCGTGTTGAAGGGGACCCCCTGGAGAAGGGGTGACCCACTCACCTTCATGGCCTTGTAGAGCCTGTCAGCAAAATACTCTGCCGTGCTTCTGATGCACTTCACTGTGGGGGAATTGAGGCACGGTGAGGGACGCTGGCACAATGCAACCCTGACCCCACTGGCTCTTGCATTGAGCCCTCCCACCCCAGCAAGGCCAGCAGCATTTCCACAGCACTCCCCACGCAGGGGCTGACTTACCCACTGCCAGCATCAGCTTCTCAAAGTCACCAGAGAGCTCTGCTCGGATGCTCCTCTCGATCGGCTTCCCAGAAATCTTCAGGTACTCATCAAAAACTGTGGGATGAGAGTGAGATGATGCCTGGAGAAGCTGCTGAGATGCCTTCAAGCCCAGCCCTGAGCTTGCAGGAGATGCTCACCCAGGCGGAGGTGCTGCTTGCTTCGCCGGCCAAGGATGTAGATGAACTGAGCCTCGTCCGTGCCCCATTTCAGCTCACCAGCTTCCAGCAGGTCCTGGTGGGATGGGGAAGGTGGCAGAGCCCAAGTCAAGGTGCTGCTTATGTGGGGCTTTGCCCAAGCACAGGCACCTGTGCTGCCTTTCACAGGCCTAAGTCTGGATGGTCCCAGGGCCACCAGCCCCACCCCTGCCTGGGTGCCAGCTGTTCCAGTGACATGCCAAGCCTCACCTTGGCATCCTGCTCCACCAGGTCCTCACTCACCACGTCATCCTCCTCTCTGGCGCCCTGCAGGACACAGAGAGGCTCAGCCCTGCTGGGCACAGGCACCCACCACCCACAGACGCTGGACAGATGGACATACCTGAAGAAGGACAACGAGCATCTTCTTGAAGTGGCCAGACGTGTCCCCAATGATGTCAGCCTCCAGATCTCTCTCGTAGGCTGGTGGAAGAGGGAGAGGTGAGGGCCTGGAGAGCTGGATCCCCACACCTCTGCCCCTTGTCTGGGGACACAGGGCAGCCCCAGCCCTTCCCCAGCTCTCACCATCTTTGTAGGCAGCCACCAGGTCGTGGATCTCCTGGTTGGTGCGGGAGGCGAGGATCTCGATGAGGCACTTCTCATCCGTGCCAATGCCCTGCAGGCAGAGGGGCAGCCCCGTGAGCAGCAGGACCAGCCGGGGTGTCCTCAGAAGGGCCCCCCGGGGCTGCCCACCCTTACCCCGATGGCATCTTTGATCTCCTTGGCGTCGCTGTAGGGCGGGGGCCGCATCAGGCTCACGATCAGCCGCTCAAACTTCCCCGTCAGCTCGTACTTGAGGTCTGCAATGAGGTCCTGGTGGAGGAGGAGGACGAGGCTGGAGGACCCTTTGCTCCACAGCATCTCTGAGCAGGTCCAGGGAGCAGTGGGGTCCTGCATGGGCTGCTTGGTGGCAGCCACGCGCGCCCGCGTTCGGCGGGGGGGGCCACCCTGGGCCGCCGGTGTCTGCAGCGGGGCCGTGGACCATGGGCTGTTTCTGCTGTTACCTTCCCATACTGGGACTTGTAGGCTTGGCAGATCTCCACTCGCTGCTTGTTGCTTCTGGACGTGATGAGGTCGAGGATGGCCTCCTTGTCACTGCCTGCGAGGAGAGCCAGGAGTCACAGTTAGCCCCACGGCCCTGCTCAACCTGCCGTGCCCAAAGCTGCTTCCAGCTCAGGGCCAGGAGGAGCAGCAGAGCCGAGCTGGCTCCAGGGAGGAGAGGGGAGCCAGGAGAGGTCCTGGCATGGTGCTAAAGCAGACAGGCTGCTGGCAGGGCAGGCACTGCAGGATGCCCAGCCGTGCAAGGGTCAGCTGAAGGAATAGGGGACATCAGGGTAGCCTTGGAGTGACAGTCCAGAGGGGCAGCCGTACCAAATCCTTTCATGGCATTGTACAAGGCCTCTGCGTCCTGGCTGGCATCAAATCCTGGGAAGTCCTTCACCGACCCTCTGTAGACCTAGGGGAACGGAGGTGAGAAGGTGGAAGGGGAAGGAGCAGCCCCCAGTGGGATGGGGGAAGGAAGAGTTGAAGCTGAACAGGATTGGGGTGAGATCTGCTTTCGCTCAGGCTGCCTGAAGGCAAAGCTCAGCTTGTTCTTCATGGTTGTTCCCTTTCCTGTTTGCTCTCCCTGCTGTACAAACTGTTTGTGTGCCAGGTCACTGGAGCACACAACCTTCCCCCTCTTCCCCCATCTGTTTGCTGCTTGTGCCCAGTGCAAGGGCTGGATACAACCCTCCCCACCACACCAGCAAGAGCCGGTGGTTTGACGGGAGGTTTCTTGAGCACATTGGAGTTCCCAGCACCATCTAGGAGGGTTCATCAAAAAAAGAGGAGACCCCATGGGAGGGATGGACACCTCGAGCACAGGGAAAGGCATGGAAGGACCAAGGTGATCCCCCTGCAATACAGCTGGGCCAAAGTGTTATGGAAGGTGGACTGGGAGTGATGAAGGAAGTAATCTCCCTACAGCCTGTTGTGATCAGGGAAACCCTCCGGATGCTGAGGATGCCCAAGCTCTGCATGGCCTCCAAGAGAGGAGATACATTTACAGGCACAAAATCATCATGGGCTGCTGAGCAGAAAGCATCGAGAAGTGCCAGAGCTGCCAACAGCTTCTCTGGCCCCAGCACATACTCCTGCAGGGCTCAGGCTGGCCTGAGGGGTCAGACCAGAGATCCTGGATACAGGGAAACACTTTCCTGGGAGCCTGAGAAACCCTTGGGGTTGGCATGATCCACTTCTGCCCGCTCCTCTGCACCTCTAGGCTGCACAACAGGGAGCCCAAGAGTGACAGCCCCAAATGGCCAGAATTCACCCCAGGGAGCCTGGAGCTGGACTCTGAGTGAGATCAGCACAAACCCTGGGTGGAAGCAGATGTGAAACCAGCCCAGCCACACGTAAGGAACTGGAATGTATCCCTGCTGGAGGCACAGAGTGGGAAGAGCTGAACTGCAGCATTTCCTTAGGGGTCTCACTGGGGAGCTCTGGGCATCCTCCCTTGGCTCTGCTCGTGCCATGTGCCAGCTGGGTCCGTACACCTCCCTAGGATCACTTGCCTGGGATCTGCTCCCGGCTTATTTGAGATCTTCAGGAGCTGTCAAAAGCCCAGGGCTGTTGCCAGCATGGGCATCTAAAGCCAACATGCCTCCCAAGAAGATGGGCAGCAGGCAGCACTAGCATCCCTGATCCAGTGAGTGCCTCCAGGAGTCAATCCAAGGGATGGACCTGGGGCAGCCCCATACCCACTGCTCCCCCAGGCCCCATCCCAATGCCATGACACAACAGCTCCACTGAGCATCTCAGCCAGCACCTTCAGAAAGAAACCAGCCTCTGTGCTCCTATTTTCCAGAGAGAAACCAGTCCAAACTGCACCCATCCCACAGGCCCTCTTGGGAGGAGCTGCTGGCACCGGTGTCCCATGTGGCAGGGACCTGGTCAGGCAAGAGGAGACGCTGCCCTTCGAGGGAGCTGGTCAGGCACGGGGACAGATCGTATTGCAGGCGATTCATCAGGAGAGCTGGATTTAGCCCCTGCTTCCCGGCAGCTCCCAGACTCTCCTGGCTCAGGGCAAGGTGCTGCCCACACATATGCCTCACAGAGATGTAAATAAGTTGGAAAAGGAGGTGCCCGGAGGCAGCAGGACACACCAGAGTGGCTGGAGGCTGCTGGGGTTGCGTGGGTGGTGATGGGGAGACCAGATGGGTCTCAATGCAGAGGAGGAGTGGGGCTGTGTTCCTGCCTGCTGAGCCATCGAGGCACGAGCTGCCTGCCTTGCCACAGTGCTGCCATGGTGGGGACAAGGGAAACTGAGGCAGGAACTCAGCGCTGTGCATTGCCCCATGATCCCTGCGCCCTCATGGGAACGAGCTCCAGAAACACCACTCGGGGTGGAAACAGCGTCCTGACTGCTGCACCCTCCTCACACCCCCGTCCTTTCCATCCTCAGCTTCAGCTGCCGGGCCCCTGCCTCCCCTCCTCCAGCCTCTGAGTCATCCCAGCCCGCCTGGGACCTCCCAGCTAAAAATAAGCCAGGCTGGGGCTGGAAGGCTGGAAGCAAAATTCCTAGCGTGGCTTCGCTCTCTCCCACCACATAGCTGCTCAGGGTCCTGGACCCCACAGGGGTGATACTCACCTGTGCTGTGCCTCAGTTTCCCCACCCAGAGGCAACCACCTTGGCTGGGCAGGAAGCCACCCGTAGTTTGGCTTGGGGCAATGACTATTTGATTTCTGAAGGGAATGGGAAGGGAGCCCTGCCCAGAGCAGCGGAGGAGGGAGGCTGTGGCCTTGGACTCCAGCCCCGCCGAGCACGCTGCAGGCAGGCTGTGCCCACCACACCAAGATGTTTTCCTGGCTTCAAGGGAGCAGCTGCTCACCCAGCTGCCACTCCACACCAGTCCCAGCCAGGCGTGGGACAAAGCCAGGCTGGGCGGGAGAGGCCAAAGTGGGGCTGCACGCCTTGCTGGAAAGAAATTCCTCCTGAGCCTGCTGCAAAAGCCCAAATCCCCAGTGCCAGCATCTCTTCCCTGCTCTCCCCACAGCCCTGCTTCTCTTTCTTATCCCACTGTGGCCCCCAAAAGA